AATCACTGATGAGGCTCGCTCGCTGCGAATGGAAGGCACGTCACGCGCGCCACCGATAAGCGAATGATAATTTCATGTTAATGTAAAAAGCATATGGCGATAAATTAATCTGGATCTTTATCGATTCGTCGGGAAACCGAATCCGCCGCAAGTGTCGATTAATAAACGCGGACTTGCGTTATCAATCGTAAGGTGTAAGGCGAGCGACGCTTTATCTTACGAGAAATGACACGGATGAGGTCGATCCATCGCAGCTCTTGCTGTTTCATTAAATCGATCTATCTATCGGAGTTATCACTCCGTCGTATCGCAAAAGATCAGAACGCGAGCTGCTCGCATGACGATGATAATGCGATCGGTTGTAATTCCCTCGTCGATTCATAACGCGAGAGATGCGCGCTTTGCGCGTACATCGAGTTCGATCGATCACCGTCGCCGTCGGAGCGCGAATAGAACAGCGTTTCACTCACCTCCGCGTGAATTAATTTCACTCGAGACTTCTTACTCCTTAATATGCGAAAGCGATCGCGCGCGAAACAAGCCCCGGATGCGTCGTTCTAAATTATTCTCGAGGAACATGCGAGTTATGCCGTGAAAATTAAACATTATCACTGAAGTGGAAAACTCGCGCAATAAGGAAAAATAGAGAAGGTGGAATTACGGTCCTTGTTAATATGTCCATTATTAGGTGACGAATTTTAATAATTACTTGTGGAATTATATATTTAGCAGCTCGCCATTACGTATGACGTAATGACACCGACACGTATAACGTAAATACACAATAGCTGGCACTTGTTATAATGCATTTTTGTCTTTGAGCATTTCGAAACGTTTTCAAGGCACACTTAATTTTGTAACAAAACATTCTTAATTTAAACAAAACCAATTTTTTAAATCTATCTATTTTAGTTGAAAGTCTTATTATTACCTTTATTTTTTTTCAAACATTATACAGTGTCATCATATTTTTACAAATAATATCCTAAGTAATAAATAATTCATAATTTCAGGTCTAGAATCGATTGAATAAATTTTGACGAATGTAATCGTGCAGTTCGCGATTTAAAATATTAATTATTAACAAAATTATTGTACAAAATGTAAATGGGGAGCCATAAAACCATCTTTTCCTCTATTTAAAAATCTATTTATAAGATATAAGGTTTCTTTCTGTCAAATAAATCTTATTTCTGTAATAAATAAACTTTATGTTTCACAAGTAGATTTTTAAGTACCTTTTTCTCAGTTCGACACCAATCGACGTGACACATTGCCGGCGATCACCGCATCAATCTTCAACTTGGCTTCACTTTGTACAAGTCTATAAAGTCGTGTCTTGCACACACGTATTTTACGCGTGCACGTGGCACGTGTGTGGAGAGAGAGAGAGAGAGAGAGAGAGAAGCGAACGCGCACGGAGGGTCGCGACCAGGCAGGTTCAACCGTGAGCGCGTCTATGGACGTCCCGCTACTAAATATAACCGCTGTTTGCTGCGGCTATTTCCTACTCGAGATAAACGCGAGTCGAGAGGGAAGAAAAGTCTCCCTGCGCATCTCTCCTCTCGTCGCGGATCTTCTTTAAAATCTCTCTCTCTCGTTCTCCTTGTCTTTGTCTCGCTCGTATCTCCTCGTAACTTCGTTTATCGGAGACCCATCGATCGAAGCGATAAGACGATCTAAAAATTGAATTGGGTGCACTTCTCGGTATCCCCGTATTTTTCATTAATAAAGAGTGTACGTGAGGCACACGCATATGCACGGACGCGCATTACACACGGAGTACTGTACGGTGCGAATCAATTAAATGTAATTTAATGTCGAATAATTGAAATTGCGTGGAATAATTGAAGCGACGTAATTTGATAACGTTAATTTATAATTCTAATAGAATGCATACTATAAATATATTGATAAATGATGCATGTACATCTTAATTTGAGTGAATTTGTGAATCCGAATAATTGCATTATTCCTTTTCCGTCTCGGTGCACATGCTCATGTTCGGAAATGCGAGGGTCTTTCGAATCCGTAAACTCGAGCCGAGACCGCCGGATTCGCGGATCTCCGACGATCCTTTGTTGTGCCAGCAAACACGCAGAAATTTACCGTTCCGAAGTTCCATATATTCTCCGATAAACGGAGTCGCGGCCGTGCTTGCTACGGTATTGCGAGTTCGTCGCAGATTGCCGCAAGGTTAAGCCGTGCCAAACGTTTTGAAATCCCGCGCGCCGACGGAATACGATCATTAAAGTACGATTTTTCAACGCGATCTGCTGATACGCGCTAAGACGAGCGCAACGCCGACACAGGAAAGTTCTACGGTCGGGGGAAAACTTCCGTTGTGGGTATTGTTCGTGGAAAGATTTCACGTAGATGAAATATTCCCCAAGTATTCTCAAGGTGTGTTCTCTCGAGCGTCGAGGAAAAATCGTCGATGAAGAAAGCACGAAAGCGACAGTCTCAAGATTATCCAAGGTCTCGGGAATATTACACAAGCGCACGAGTACTCTCTCGGCAAATGCACGAGACGAATTTGGTTCCCCGAAAGTCTCCGCGGCAAGTTAATTTTGTGACCGCGACGCTACTGTGTCGTGCGCGGCGTCCATAATGTTTGCATAACAAAAGGCCGAAAGCGCGAGAACGTTTGGCGACTCGAGTTTCAGGAAAGTGCAAGAAGTTGTACAAAAAGGAAACCTTAATCTCTCCGTCTCGCCGATTTAATTTCAAGTGGGTTTCCGCTCAATAAAATTTTTTTAATTCGCGTCGTAATTCCAACGACGTTCGACGTCGTTTGCGGCATTCACGATGTTTGCATACTGCAAGATCGCGAGTGCGCATGCATAAAACGTCTCGCGAATTTAAAGCCGTCGGGGAAACGTGCGTGAACTCGACGAGGAGTTAATAGTCAACCTTTTCATGGCGAAGCTCGTGATTCTTATTACACGTCAGGTTTAGACGGATTAATTTGTCGAGCGGGTATCGGAAAACTCGCGCGTGCTATTTCCGAGCATTCCCGTGACAACGGGTTAACGAACACGCGACGAAATTTCGAAATATAAATTGCGCTTGACAAGCCCGTTTGTACGTGCGCGCGTGTATGTGTGTGTGTATATTACTGTTTCACAAGTTGTCCCCACGCGCGTCTATGATACCACCGTGAGCTGCAAATACTTAGCCTAAATTCGTGCGCCAACAAGAAACGCAGAGAACAGTATTTCGATCGCGGCTGCGGTCGTCTACGCAGATGCGCGCGTAAAATATCTACACTGTCACTTTATCCGCGAAAGAAATAAAAAGATGATGTTGGACGCCAAAATTATTCCAAGTCGAAATTTAGATTCTACATTGAAAAGAGGATTTGGTAACAATTATTAGGGTTTGGTTACTGCAACGAAATTATTTAGTACCACATACTACTTTATGTATAATATATGATACTAAATGATTTGATTGTAGTAACCAAACAATTAAGTTGAATCTATTCAAAACTTGGTAATTGTTACCAAACTCTTTTCAGAGTACGTTAACAAACTTTCTCAAACACAAAAGAACAAGAGTTTCAATGTTGAAACTCTTCGCCATGCTGTGAGACTTAATGATTAACGAGTTAATAAAATGAACTGTTTTCACATAATCTACTTATTATAATTGTTTTGTTGGGAATTTCAATAGGAAGTTTCAAAACCGATGAAAGGAGTTGTAAAGAGAAAATAGCAATCTGGAAACACCAATAGAAACTTAAATTCGATAATAATAACATAAGTCAAACAAAAGCAAAGAGCGTTAGAAAATTCAAACCGGATTGGTGACTCAAGGAGTATTATTAGACATATAAATCAGCACTTACGACAGTAGATTTCAAATTTCCAATCAGGATTTCCCACCATGCTCACCTATTCAAATTACTTTTGACTATTAGCCACCTGACACATACAGTTTACTCTCCCGATGTCACTGACCTTGTTCTTGGATTGTTAGAATGTAAACAATTGATTTACCTCTGTACTCCTGTTTTTCTCCCGGACTCTTTATTTTCGTTGAAAATTTTGAAATCCGAATTGCGAACGTCAAATTTGTCGATGCTTTCAATTTAAATTATACTGGACTGAAGAGGATTTCGCCGTCAAGCGCATGACGATGAAGTGAATACGCAGATGACGCATCGAATGTGCTTATGTGAGCACAGTTAAAAGATAAAGTACAACGAAATAATCTTACACGCAGGACGAGAGAAAAGAAGAGAGGAGATACAGGTTAAATCATCTTTGAACGAAGCTGTCACGATGGCTACTTCGAGTTTCAATTAATTCGGACAAGGAGCTTCGCGCTTGACACAAAAGAAGCACGCCCATAATGCGTAAATCTCGATATACAGAATCAAAGGCGAATCGTTCGTGTCTGTGGTCGCGCCAAGAAACGTCAAGAAACGACATCGGGGAACGTGGAGAAGCGTCGAGAGACGTACGTGTGTGTGTGTGCGGATTGCCGTCACGAAACGTCAACATCCCGTGCGACCTCCATGGGCGAACAAAGCGACATCCGGAGCCCTCGCAACAACGCAGCAGCTTCTGCGAGCGAGTCGCCGCTTCGAGCCGATATCGCAGGTGCATACACGCCAACACGTCGAATGCCTCTCCGAGGCCGCGGTCCTTCAGACGATCCTGCCAAGGCTCATTAATGTCGCGCGAATCGATCGTCGAAAACCGGCGGCGCGACCAATTTTCGACAGATTCGACTTCCGTCGTCCGGCCGTACGAGAGAGAGAGAGAGGATGACGCACGCTGGAGTCAGCTACGAGGGGCGATCGTTCCCGTCCAATTTTGCGGCTATGTTCGCGAGATATCGCGTACCGGTTTAGCAGGGGGGGCGACACGATTGCATGATCAGGCCGACAAACTAGTACACGCACAAGCGAGATATCGGCGGCGTGTGATCGACGCTGCTTACGACGAAACGTGGCGTCATGCATATTAAGCGATATGAAGCACCGCACTCACCTTGAGACGTTTGAGCTTGCCGTCCCTTGCCGCGTTGTACACCACGCTCTTAAAATCCATTTTCACATGCTCCGGCCCCTACGTCACGATGCGGCGGCGGCGGTGCGGGCTTGGTTGGCTGGATGATCGGAGGATGGCTGGTCTGCGTTGTTGTTGCACGGACGAGTTCTCTTCGCGGAAAGTGGCACGTATTCCCTCGATCTTTCGCGCTTCGTCGAATAGGCTAACGCAATTGTTACCCGCGAGCTGACGAAGAAAGGGGATGGATATATCCCGCTCGCAACGGTGATCCCTCCAACGGTGCACGAGCCGTTGACGGAGAGGACGACGTTGCCGAAACGCTCAGTTTTGCAGTAGTGCAAACCGAGATGGACGAGACGCGGGCGGTTGGCTGTGTACACGAGCCTCGGATGTGCGAAGGAGAGAGAGAGGGTCGTCGGCACGGAGTCAAGGGGACCGAGAGAGACGGGGAGAACGCGCTCGGCTGTTTCCGTGCGTAGCTCGCTCGCTCGTCAGATTACGGTATTATAACTCACTCCGCTCGACGGTTCGTCAGCGACTGAGCTCGCCGTGCCAACCGCGCAGGATCAATCGCCGGTCAGTGTTGCCAGCTGTTCGCTCCGTCCCTCCCCTGCCTCCGCTAGTGTACCGTCCGTTCGGCTACGGCCGCTCGGCTACGGCCGGCGTCGTACCGACGTAGCACGCCGACGCATGCGTCGCGACGCCGAGAGCAGCGCTCCCCCGTCGCCGTCGCAGTCGTTGTTCGCGCGCTCTCCCGCATTCTTTCGTGGAATCGCGAGGAGGGATTCGCGAGAATTTTCCAACGAGTTCTCCCTGTCTTTCTCTCTCTCGCGCGCGCGGCCGGTCCTCGCTGCACCGGTCCGGAAGGAAGCTGCACGATGCTCGCGCTGTCGCGTCACGACGCCGACAGAGCGCGACACGCGACGACGATGACGACGCCGGCGAGATCGTGTCGATAAGTTGCGCGGCTTTCGCTGGAATCTGCAAACGCGAAGATTCCTATTGGTAAAAGGTGAATATCTCCGTATGGTCGCTCGTTGAATATCGATACGATCTACGCCAGTTCGAAAGTGTAATATATTTACGATAATTATGCCTTTATGACGGAGGACATATTTGAACCTGAGCGTTTACATCGACTAACCTCCGCTGTACGATCGTTCATATGTTTGCGTCTTAATTCTTAACGCGGCTCGAAGTATTCGTATCTCGGGAGAGACACATCGTGCAGATTCTCTATGCACTCGTAATGGTAAACCTGGCGTGAACCTTCATTCGCCATCGATAAGTTTGCGACGTGACGGAATAATATATACAAAAGACGATGCCGAAGAATGGTGTACGCAGTAAGTTATTTTTTCTTATTATAACCGTCGTCGCTCATCCTCGGAAATTTTCGTATCTTTTTCTTACACCAACAATTCACGAAGAGGTAACTTACAGAGACAATTACAACAACAGCAATGATACGGCGAACTTTTTTTGTATCCTCGTCTTCCCCAGCTATTTTGAAATAATGTAATTCGCGAGGAGCGAACCGTCGTTCCCCGAGTTTTCGCGACGGTTCGACGATACGGCGAAATCGCGATATCGCGTTCGTTGTAAAATGTATCCCAGCACTCGGACGCGAGTTAACGGGTTGAATATTCCGCGTGGCCGAGATAAGACGGAGCTATTAGCCCCTTTTTATCTTTCACTGCAGCTCTCGGCAGCTCGGGAGTTTTTGCCGTCGGTGCTACGATTATCCAGGCAATTCGCGTGTTTCGTAGGTTTACGGAGCTTCATGCCCGCTAGGGAGAAAGAGAGTAGAGAGAGAGAGAGAGAGAGAACGACCAACTCTTTTACGATGGATCATTTCCCCGGACATGCCTCGAGTACATCGCCAGGAGGCGACCCCGCTCGATCCTCGCTAAACGGAACCTTGCTTCGGGGAACGAGTCACTTCCGGCTTAACTTAGAGTGCAACATGAAGATTTCGACGAACTTGAAAGTAGAAGTTGCAGAGACGAGAAAGGTAACGAAGAGATCCGATTAATGCTAGTTATTTTTCAATTTTCGGAAAGATCTCACAATCACGAGTGTGATTCAAATACAAGTGTGTGATTTTAAAAAAATCATATCTTATGCACTTATACGTTCGTTAATATTATGATTTTACATGCATAAGTTACGTACTTGGATTTGCCGTGTAACTTTTACACACTTCTGTCTGTAAAATATTATACTGGTGACACGTATAAATTGCAAACGCGTAAAAAGTAACTACGTAAAGTGTGTAAAATGGGACACTTGGATTTGCAATGTCGTTCAATGTCTGATCACAATCGGGATTAGTTTTTTTAGTTTTATCACCAGTGGCACTCGCGGTACGACTAATCCTACCAGTCGGGAATGAAATCTTTAACGAGCATACTCGTCGTCGTCTCGTCCGATCTCTTTCCTTCGAAAGACGGCACGCGGCAATCCTCCAAATGTACAGCTGGCTGCATTTTGCGTGCACGAATCAATAAGGCACGTCGGTAAGCGACGTCGGAAGCTGCGTCCCGCCGATTCGCGCGATTTCTCCACGACCTTGCATGCACTCGCACTCTCGTGCGATATCGATTTTCCCGACGATGCGTCCGCGAAAACCGTAATACCCGTATCGCTCGTTCTAATTAACGGCCAAATTGTTGCGGACGAACCCGTCGAAGAGAGCGGTTCGTTATTAGTCACGCGACAAGAAAACGAGAGCGCATAGCCGCGCAACGCCTGTACGCCCTTGCTCTCTCGTGCGGGAATTATGCAGATTGCCTGAGAGCAAATCGTCAGGCGTCACCGCGGAAGGAAACATCGCTCCGACGAGTCAATTCATTGCCGGGCTTTCGACGCGCGATCGACGCGTAATAATTGATTACGCGCGATTTTATCTCCGCGAGATCTCTCCGGCAATTTCGAAATTTCGACGATTGTCGCATGGTTTGCCATTATCGGATGCGGCAACGTTATTTACACTGAGAAACCCGTTCAGTTGAATTAAATTCTTGTTTGGACGTGGACGAACAAATGTTTTGGTTATAAGAATCAAGGTTTCTCTGGTTCTCTGAAACAAACCTTTTTCATCGTCGTTTCAGAGAACCAAACCTTGGTTCTTGCAACCAAAACATTTGTTTGTTCGTGTCCAAACAAGAATTTAGTTTAATTCAACTAAGTGGGTTTCTCAATGCACCATTACGGGTAAAATAATCATCGCGCAATCGTGCGTTACTCGGCGAGATCCGTAGATTAACGCGTGCCGTCAATTGCCACGAAGGAAGGATCTCGATTGCGTCTCGTCGAACTCAATCGCTACCTTTCCCGCCTCTCTACTTTCTCAGCGCAATGTACATATATATATATAATTTTTTTAAATATATATATACGCGCGTATTTACGTATTAGTGTATATACGTACGTTCGCCGCGTGCCTCAAAGGGGTGAGTTCCCACGGCGAAATAAATTTCCTCACCGGCATCCTCGCCTCCCTCTCTTTCCTCGTAACTCTTCTCCGTATCCCTTCGCGGATACGGAACGCTACGCGAGTGTATCCGCTAAAGATTTCCAATTGCGTTTACGACTGTTTCCCCGTGCTCCGTTGAAACGGTGTTCGCGCGCGCGCCGACTACTCCTTCACGATCACACATACGTGGGTGGTGCGGCGCAACCGTAAATATGGTTATGCGACGGTCGGTCGGTTCTCTCCGCGTGCAGGCGTGTGCGTGCGTGCACGTGCGTGCGTACGCGCGCGTGTGTACGCGGATAATGAACGCGCGTGTGCGCGCGTGATCAAAAGTGCAGTGGGCTGTGGCTTGCGACTGCGACGACGATCACGACGAGACGAAGGTCGGAAAGAGACGAATGTACGTATGTGTGTGCACGCGTACGGACGGACGGACGGACGCACGAACGAACGGGTGGACGTTGGTCCAATCCTACGCTATCGACGACCACATTCTCGCAAATTGCGACGCCGACCGACACTGACGGCCGAATGACAATAAGTCGACGGGCGCGTTCGCATCGCGATCACGTACGCGTAGATTAGCGATCGCTTGTCCGGCCCCCGACGTGATGACCGGCTTGCTACGAAGCTACGTCGCGATCGTCGGCTACTTGCCTCGTGAATCAACCGCGCGCGTCTACAGTAAACACGGCGGAAAGGCGGCGATAGCGTAAAACGTTCGTGAATCGCCTCGTCCTCTTTTTTTTTTTCTTCATTCCCTTCGAAGGGCGCGTCGCGAGCGTTATATTTGGCAATTCCGCGGGGATACATCGTCTGGATATCTTATTTGGAGTCTTACCGGGGATACGGTCGTTGCGGTTTTGTTGTCAGTGGTTATATACCGAGAGAAAAAATCGAATGTAAATATGTATCTTGTTTTTTTAACGACATCTCTTTGTCTCTTTCTCTCTCTCTCTCTCTCTCTCGCTCGCTCTACTAATTTACTACACGTAAACGTTCAATTGTGGTCGAAGCGCGACGCGTCTCTCATTATGGTAGAAATTCCGCGTAAATTGACGCAACAAAATGATGAAGCGGTGCGCGAGTAACTTGGAAACGACGCATTCGATACGCATTGGAACACCCGCCAATAAATCTCACGCTCGCTTACGCTTCCGAGCGACGTTGTTCTGTGGGCGCTGTTACTCGTTAACATCTGATTTATTATCGTCTTATGTGTATTGCATTTAATTGCATCATTACGCGATATCGCGGAATGTCACCGTATAATTCGTAACGATTTCGTTCGCCAGTTTCTTGGATATTTTGCAGTTCCCGACGGACATTTCCCTTTCCACCCTCTTCTCTTTTTGCATTTTAATTGTCCCTAACGAGAGAATAAGAGAGACCCGTATACACATATATATGTTTTTCGAGCTTCAATACTTGCAAATCTTAACATGGCTGATTCCATTATGCTGTCTCGAAGCGAAACATGATGCGCGGCAGCATCGCGTCTCGTCGATTTCTATTCATGATCGATCACGCCGCCGAGGAAGACATACATCTCGCGACGAGATGCGCAGGAAAACGCATCGGTGCAATAGTCGCCGTCGCTTACCTTCTCTCTCTCTCTCTTGCTCTCTTCCCGTCTCCCTCTCCCCTCCTCTCATTCCCTCTGTCTCCCTCGTACTCTCGCTCCCTCGCTCAACGGAGTATTGGAATTTCGAAAAGCCAGGCTGCTCAGGTAGACAGACCTGATTTAGAGCATCCCCCGTTGGCGGGCGTTTAACCGAATCGAGGATTCATCTCCTCGCGCGCCCTCAAAGCGCGGCGGACGCGATGCATGAGCGGTGTGTAATATGATGAGCACACGTACTACTCGCGTGCACACGTATATACGCGAGCTTTATATATACACAGCCGTGTATGCATATATACATATTCACTCACGCACGCACACCCGCGCGCCTTATACACACACGCCCGTGCGTTCCCTCATCCACAGACTCGTGGCGGTTACACCCACGCCGAGCTCTCTACTTACGTTGTCGGTTGACTCGTGTTGTCCGGCGCTCTCTGCGGCACTTTGACTCTCGCTCCGTCTCCGTCGCAATCATATATATGTATACATATGTACATACGTGCACATATAGATATATACGTTGCCTCGAGCAAACGACAAGCAAGAGAGAGAGAGAGAGAGAGGGGGCGGGACGGAGGGAGGTGCAGAAGAAGAAGAGAGAGATAGAGAGACGTGTGTATTTTTCTCGATTTATATACAATAAAGGAGAGGAAAATTGTGTGTTATATATTAACAATGTTATAATCTATATAAGATATACGCACGTATATATTTACACAATAGCTCGACATTCGGCGTTCCCGCTGCTCCTTCGCTTGGAGAGTTGCGGGGGCGCAAGCGAGCGAGAGAGATCGAACGAGTGAGCGAATGCAGGCACGGCAAGCGAACGCGCGCGCGCGCGCGCGGCGGGAGAGCGGGACAAACACCACCGCGAGACCGACGAGAGGCGGAAGATTAAGAAACGCGGCGGTGCGACAGAGAGCAACGGTCGGCCGGAGAGGCGGCCGCCGGTGCAGGAGTATATCCGTGGTATAAGTGCGAAGGGAGGAAGATGCTGCGCGGCGCCGGTGAGAGCGAGAGCGAAAAGCAGGGGTGTCGATCTCGAGAGTTTTCGAAACTTGCCGCACGCGCCGCGCGCGAATAAATGCGCCGCCGAGTATCCCGGGTTTCGATCTTGGCGCGACCGGAGATCGCGATTCCGCGGCCGTGAGTAATTTCCGCAAATAACGTGCGCGACGTTGGAAAGAAAATGCACGCGCGCTTTCAATTCGCGCTTCTCGACGTTGCGCGTTCGTTCAAATATCGTTCTAAAGTCTGTCCGAAAAGTCGAAGTTTCAAAGATCGCGCTGGCCGATTATTGCAATAGAACCCGCTCGAACTGTCCGCATCAACAATGCCGGTGAAACTAAAAAATGCATTTGGGTGAGCGTCGGAGGTTTGACGGGCGTTATCGGCGTTATCTGGGAAATCGCGATCGAAATTCCCGTGAAACGTGCAACGCGCGACATACAGAGGGAAAGGAAAGAGAGAGAGAGAAGTGGAGAGACGATGACAGTGCGTGCGACTACCACGGCGACCGCGAGCGGTAGATTGAATCTTTTTAACGGCCTTCGAGAAGAGCGCTACAGCGCGGGGAGATACGGATTCTCTTCTTCGTAACCCACAAACTCCGGGAGACGTACGGTCGGGACGGAGTTCTCTCTCGCCCCCGTCGGTCGACGCCCTTGACTCGCGGGGGACGACGAGTAGGGGCAGGACAGCTTGCGGTGGAAGCGAGACGGAGCGGAGCTGCCGTGCCCAGTACTCTGTGTGCGTCCGTACGCTCTCATTGATGCGTCGGTGTGGCCCGCCGCGGCGGTTGGTGTTGGTCGTCGCTCATTGGTGTTCGCGGCGCGCGGCGCGACGCGGCGGCGGCGGCAAGCGGCGTTCACACGTTCCCGTCATCCACTTCGGTACCCGGCTCGCAGTCGAGCGTCGTACGTTACGCGGCGCGGTTGTGACGTTTGTCCGCTCCCTCTGTCTCTCGGCTCCCGGTCGTCGCAACTGTCCGTATACATACGCGCTCTCCGACGGACGTGTGTTGACTCTCTCGTGCACGCGGCCGCGTAAGAAAGTGCCACAGTGCGAATCGTAACGTACGAGCGAGGAGAGACGGGGGAAGACGCACGGAGCGGCCGGAGGAGAGAGAGAGAGAGAGAGAGGCAGGAGGGACGCCGAGGGAGCGTGCGGCAACGAACGCGAGTGTGCTTTTTTGCCGCAGTGCCAAGAGATGGATTAAGGACGGAGAGCGCGATCGCGTCCCGACGAGCGTCGTCGGGGATCTAAGAATCGCGACGTCGACATTCTGCCAGGTACGATAATACGTTAACCGTGGATCGGCGTGGTTCTCCTTCGTAGAAACGCGGCGCGAGAATCCGGAAGATAAAATGTCGCTCACCGTCGTGAAGTTCGCCGCTTCAGTTAGCGCCGCGCGCGAAGTCACGTGTCCTCGTTAGTTATGCAGCCAGCTTTGGAACATGACGCGCCGCCGTGTCTTTTCGCGAAATATCGACGAAACGCGGCCGGCGTTATTGCTTTCTCTCGCGACTTGCCGAGGAGCAAGAGAGACGGACAACTTTTTCCCCTCGCTCGTCCTCCGCCTGTGAACGCTTAACGTTAGCCTCGTTAATTCTTAGACACGGAGGGTCCGGCTCTTTCGCTCTTGTTCGCTACCCCGGGGAGCGGCGGGGGGGGGNGGGAGGAGAGAGAGAGAGAGAGTAGGCTTAATAATTATAGCGTTCGAAACGACTTTCGCGAAACGAGGGAAGTGCGCGAGACCGCGTGAGAGGTCGGCGGCGAGTCATCCGCAAAAAATGATCTCCCTCCCCCGCCGATCGAAGCTCAATTCACCGTTTCTTGATCGATAAGACGCGTGCTCTCTTCCGAGAAAACGTTTCACGGAGCGCCGAACTCTCGGGCTCGTTAATTGAGTTTCAAACAACGACCCGAAGTCTGTTCCGAATCTTTGCTCCTCGCACCCACCGACCCTCGCGCGCTCCCGCTTTTCCTCCATCTCGCGACATGCTTAATAGATTATTGGGTAGATAGGTAGACAGAAGTGATTAACACTCCTAAGCCCCGGTGGCAATGACTTGACGTTACGTTACGTCGCGAGTACAATTGCGCTCTGCAACCTAGTGTGACCTACATCGGCGCGATCAAACTCGCATTCCCTCAAAAGGCGTATTTTTTCGCCGGGCGGAACGCGTATGCCCTCTTTCCGCGTCGCGTTTTATCGCGTTAATGTTGAATAGATCGCCGCCGGAATGATTCGACGACAGGACACCGGTTGACAATAACACGCTCGTATTTTACTGCAAACATGTTTGGTAGCACGATCAATTGACCGATTCAGAGCCGGTTATTTTTTTCTCTCTCGACGGCAGCTCAGTGGTACACAACATCGTCTTTTGTAATCATAAATTCTCCGCGTTCGAGATATACGTCTGTCTCTGGGTGATTCATCTTCGGACTCCATTTAAATCTGATAAAATGAAGAATCGAGGGAACGCGTGTTGTTGATACTGAATAAAAATATCGTCTGGTGGACGTTACGTAACTCATGTCAACCACGTATTTATTTACATATCGGTCAAAGAAGTGCGAGTTTGTTTACGCTCGATCACCGCGATCTCACATACGAGCAACTCGATCTTCTTAATGTCAATGTTGCACTTTCGGGTTTTTGCGTTATTAAGCGAGCAACTGAATCAAGCGAATTGTCGCTTTTACCGTTGTTGTGTTACCGGTAACAGTCGGCGATGAGGATAGTCGTGAAGAGTGACGAGGAGGAGGGCAAAGAGAGAGAGGGAGAGAGAGAGAGAGAGAGATGGAGGAGGGGGAGGAGGCGGAGAGAGAAGGTGGGTTAACAACGTTAGGGGTAATCGACGTACACGTCTCGTAAAATCGTCGAGACGATCGACAAGCCGCTCTCCGGGCTCTCCGACGTTCTCTTTGTCGTGTACGGTTTTGCGGAACTTTCACGCGTACACATCCGGCAAATTACGCGCGGCATTCGTTGCACCGAAGCTTCTTCTCGCGCCGGCACTTTGACCGTTCTCGTCTGCCGTCTGCGATATATCGTGCGACGACGCGAAAGAAATGTCCGACGAAAAGAGAAGGGAGAGAGAGAAGTCCTCGTACGCGGCGAAATCGCGTTCTCCCGCTCGAGGATAATTGAGATTGGCGGTACGACACGATTAGGCGGTTATTAATTCGCCGTTCAAACGAAGTTGGTTAATTACCGTTCGGCGCGGCGCGATACGACGACGGTTATCGATTCGCCGTTTTCGAGCGGTATCTCGCAATTATCAACAATCCCGCCGTCGGAACGAAATTTCTGTACGGCGTGCCGCACTCGCGCGCGCACTCGACTCGGCGTCCGCGCCTCCAACTACGCCGCGAGCCACTTAAGTTCTTTCTCTCGCCGTATAATTATCGCGTCTGCGTGATAAGGCTTTTTACGACGCGTGCGTTTTACGAAGTCGTCGCGCGCGGCTAATAAAGGCGCGATCCTGGGGTACTACCTGTCGTAAGTATGCGGACTTATTAGGATACCGGCGCAACGACGGCGTTCGAAGTCGTTCGCTTTATCGCTGGCAACAATGGACTTTTTATTTTCGTGCCGGTCGAACGTAATAACGCGACGTGCAAAATCAACGAACGCGCGCGTGTGGATACCGGCTGAGAAACAAACACCGACACGTTGAAAAATTACGCCCGCACTGTAATTCGTACGTGTTTCACGTCGATCCAGATAACGCGGTTATAATAATGTGAATGACAAAAAAGTAGATAAAATAACGCGACCATCGGCTCGACTCGTTTCCGGCCGCGCGATCCCGAGACGCGGTTTTCGCACGGTCGAGAATTGGTCGGATTCCTTGGGGACGTTTGGAAAATGAACGCGTTTTCCCCCTCCTCCCCACGTCGGAAGCAGCTATCACGCGCCTTACACACGTGGCTCGTGGCGCGCGTAACGAAATCTCGGCGGCGGCGGGTGTATCACTCGGGGTCGATAATTAAAGCGCGGTCCGGTGTGGAGAATCCTTTAATCCGCGGCATTGTACGTCGCCGTTCGGCCGTGTCGCGATAACGATCACGAGGCAAAGAAATCACGGGTGATTGCGCACGGTTAAGGATCGCGGGCGCCGATTACGTGAGATTCGCGATAATTTCCTTCGTGACTCCTCGATCCGCGCGCGCCCCGGCTGTTTTTCTCCGAAACGCCGCGCGCGCCCGGCCTCTTTGAGGAGTCGTGGACCCCGGAACCGGTGTGACCTCTCGAATCGCGCCGGGAGTATCGAGGAATCACCTGTGACACTCACCGTGACGCGATGACACGTCGTTGAAATTGAAATCTGAGTTTCCGCGTCGGCAGGCAGTCTATAAAATCAGGAGGGCTGCAAATAAACTCGGACCCAGGTGGAACGGCGACGCATTTTCTTCAAAATAAAACGCACACAGGAAAGAAATTAGCCTTAAATTAAGAATAGATATTTTCATATGTAAGCAGGAATATTAATATCTTCTCGGGGGATTTTTAGTTCTCATTTGATTGAATTTCTATTGATGCAAGTGTTACTTGAACTCAATTCAAGACTAAAAATCTTGTAAGAATATTATAATATTCTTCTTGCTTATGTGTGAGAATATCTTGATTTGAGACTAGTTGTTGCTGTGTACTTTTGTTTATATTATTTATATTTGACCACGTGTGTATTATATTATACATTATATAATATTTGATGACATCTATCTCTATTAAAAGACTTTCATTGTCATTCTTAAAACTAGCCATTTTCAATCATTATTTATTTAAAGCATTATTGATAAATAATCATCATCCTCGTCTCATTACATGTCTTGATTTCTCACTATGATCATTCTTTTCTAAACTATACTCTTTATTTTCTTCTTCCTGCGGCGATTGTCTGTACGTTTACATCTAAATTTTCTGTTATATTATACCATTTGTTGCTCTTGCAGGATTTATCCTAGAGCATGAAGCTGATTCTATTCTATTTCCGTGCAATTTGAACGTTAGAATATCGCACATCGCGCTAGGAATAGTACGGTGCTAAATGTCGAAACGCGACGCGATTTATCGGCGGAGCCGCGCTCGAAGCGTCAGGGGTTTCGACCGGCGGTCTGCGTCCTTCCGATGCGCCTTATTATCCCGCAAGACGACAGAACGTGACGAAACTTTCCAATCGCGAATAAGTACAGAAAGATGGGTGGATTTAATTTCGCACGCGACGGCGGCGGCGGCTGCCGACGGGACGCAGCGCGTCGCGCGACGCCGGACGTATCAAGCCGAAAAGTTTTTATCGTTCCGCCGAACGCATTTGCTGCAAATTGATGGAAATGACGGCTCAAATTCGGGCCTGGACGAGTTTTTCGCGCTGGCGCACGCGCTCGCATTATACACGCGTATATACATATATTGCACGCGAAATACATTATCCGCGGAGAATGGACTGTTAACGCGGTTATATGACTCCATTTTGCGCGTTACACGAAACATCATCCCGCGTTACAAAGAGCCCGTAATGACGCGTCATGTATATGCGATCGCGGCGGTAAAAGCGTGAAAATAATAGCAACGTTGTTCGGTCCACGCGAACGTTGGTTTTCGGCCGGGGGCTCACTGCGCGACAGAGAAGGGAGAACGAGGGGAGGACAGAGACCGACAGAGGGAGACCCTCTTTCAGCTTCCTCCTCCCCTCCCTCTCCCTTCGCGCACGCTTTGGCGAAGCGTGCAAATCGCAAAAATGTTTTCCGTAATTCGCGACCCGCCCTTCGGCGCGGCGCGCGATGCGGCTACGTCGAAAATAAACGGCGAAATCGCGCTCGGCAATCTCGACGGCGGCGGCGGTGAGCGCCCGCGCTCGCGAGGGGGAACACCGCAAATTATCTGTCCGCCCGTTATTGTTGAATGGCCAATTCTCTACTTGGAAATTAAGCTATGGCCTAAACTAACCTAGCATAACGTTGCCGGCATCGAGAGCTCGCCCGCTCGCCAATCGTGAGTGTTTGCACGGCCGGTTTAGCCTGCTGCGCGCTCTTCCTATACCTAAACGACGCTCTCCCGCCGACGTCGCTCGTTCCGTGACGTACGTGCGACGGAGCGTCGCTGAAATTTATCGATTAATTCATATTGACTTACTTAGGCGAGCGGACTCGCGCAAATAAATACAGAAGGCCGCGTAGCGTAATGGTCGTTCGCGAACGTTACGCGAGGAGGAAGAGGAAAGAAAAAATTGATCGATCTAAGTGGAGAGAGAGAGAGAGAGGGGAAAATAAAAAGCCAAGGAGGCGATCAATTATTGGTATCGTCTTCTTCGTCTCCGCGAGAAGTTTTCGAGTTTGCTCCGCGGCTTGGACGCGATTCAGCCGCTCGTTTCCTCATCCGTGAAAGCCCCCACTCGCTGATTTAGCTGCATTAATTAATCCTGCGGTAAAAAGAAGAGCGCTCACGTTATCGCGCCTCTCCGACACGGTAGACGCTGGAATCCCCCTCCTCCTCCTTCCGCGATAACTCCCGCGAGGCAATAATGAACAATTACCGTGTTGGATCTCCATCGTCCGTCGGTCCGTTCGCCGCGGCTCGCGAGGAAACGAACGTGCGATCGTCTCGACGCTCTTTTCCGCGTTTTATCGCGCAGTTTATCCGACGTGTTTGACACGTTTGCAATAACGGCCGTGTGCCTTCGCCTGTCGCTCGTAATGCGCCGTGCCGCGGTCCATTGAAAATTGCATTGTAATCAATGCGTCGTAGGTCCTGAACGTGACGTCGCGCTCAGCCGGCGGCTTTGCACCCGGTGAATATATATACGTGTACACGCGCGGCGACGAGCGCGCTTTCTTTTCGCGTTCTATCCTTTCCGCCGCTCCGCATCCCGTCGCGTCTCGTCTCTCTCTCTTCCCCTCCTCTCTGTCTTTTTTGTTCTTTGTCCCTGGCTCGAAACACGCCTCGGAGATTAGGATAAATGCTCCTGGAGCGGCGACGGGGCGCAGTTTACGCGCCTCGTAAATCGAACGATAAATTGATCGCTCGCCATCGTAAAGCTCCGTTCACACGCGCCGCCGATGAAATGGAAACACATGGTCCCCGCGAGGTGCTGCGACGCGGTTAATAGAGATTTTTAACAAAGACGTCGAGGGAAAGAGTCCCGGCCGGCATAAACGGGAGAATTTCCGTCGTAAGAGTCCTGGTAGAAATATATATAATTTTCTTAGATACTCGTCCAGTTACTGTTTAGTGTTAATGCGTTCTCATTAGTTCACTGAGAGAAAAATATTTGGTATTTGTAACTATAATGTCATCATGGTAAAAGAATTACAGTCAGGCAAATCAATTTTCTAGTGTTATTATAGTGTTAACGATAATAACTTTATATGCATGTTACTACTATTTTTGTGGTTAAGATTCCTGGTCTTTCGCTGCAACTGTGTTTATTTGATGACGTCAGAAACGAGAAAGCTCATGCCAAGAATTCTTGCGTTATACGTTCAAATAAACAAATATATCCACAAAATGACATTTATGGTCGATTCAGCACACTTATAAAATTGTCTCAACACTTCTCTTTTACTTGAACAATCGATAAATAGCCGCAATATATATTTGACACGAAACCCTCCTTTTTAATCTCTCTTCTCAAGATTTTGTCAATGTTAATTTTGCAACTATTTATCGGTTGTTCGAATAAAAGAAAAGTGTTCGGACAATCTTGCAAATGTGCTGAGTCAATCAAATGTCATTTTATAAGTATATCTTTTTATTTGAACGTATAACGCAAGAATTCTTGGCATGCGTTTTCTCACTTCTGACGTCATCAAACAAAGAGAGTTGCAGTGAGGGATTAGGAGTCTTAAAACTATAAAATGGTTATGGTTGGCACCGAAAATAACTATAATTTCTCTCACTGTTGTAACAATACTGCGTAGGAAATGGACAAGATCTTGGTAGAGTTATATTCGATGGTTGAAGCAGTTTTCCTGGTAAAAATATGTACAGCTTGTGTAAATATCTTCCTAATTATTATCTAATAGAGGAGAAAATAATATTATGGTCTTTGTAGATATTGTTGTCCCTTTTATATATTATATTATTACAAAATGCAAATGGAGAGTCATAATACCACCTTCTCTTAATCAATTCAATGGTGTTTTCTTCCATTCGTTATTCTGTTTTCGTTCAGTAAATGGATTCAGATTTTGGGCATCTATTGTGCGCAGTAACTGCAGGAAAAGCGTTACATCTTGATTGGAATCCCAAGTAGTTTTACTCCTCAGTTATTAGACAGAAGTTAATATAACTGTCTGATTATTGCTAAATAAATGCATAAAATTTCTACTAGGGAGTTCGCGAAACATATTCTGAGAGACGTACCTTCTAATTTGTGATTTCTTTAATTGCGTATCCTCGAAGTTAGTTTCAGCGTCATCTATACGGTTTTTATCAAATTATATCGGTGTCAAGTGAAAATGTATTTTCTCTGTCCGACAGGCACGAAGACAGCGCGCGACCTGTGAAGTTACGGCGACGCGCGACGAATCACGAAGATACAAGGAAAGTGTCGTACGTCCGAATTCGAGCTCGCGAATAATAATACGTTTACGCGCGCGCACTTAAAGCCGACCCGCGTGAGAATAATGCGGCCGGTCCGTGACGTGGCAACCGCGATGAATCGTGTTGTGGAATAAGTAGTGCCCACAAGAAGAAGAGGACTGATCTGGAACTGCGACCGTCCTATGGAGTCTCTTCCGGATACCGAAGATGCCGTCGCGAGGATCCAGCCAACGTTCGCGTCGTGAGATGATCGCGTGCGAGGTGCATCGCGGACGCTGCAGCGGTTTCTGAGAAGCGACCGACCAACCTTAAGATGTACCCCGCGCCGGCGAGACACCCAGCCCCCGTAAGTTACATTTTTTTTCACATCTTGGTCTTATTTTTACGGGCCTTGTTTTCTTTTTCTCGAACGAGAAGAGATCGGTAGCGTGACCGGCGGGATGAAAACACGAAGCGTGTAAGCGTCCGATGTATTAACCAGGACAATTAATTTATGAACGCGAACAGGGAAATGAAAAATAAAGCAACAATTTGATACATCGCTTAAGTAAAAAAAAAAAAATGGAGAAATGTAACAAGTTCTAAAGAAATATGCTTTAGGGAGGTAGATAGAGAGTAAAATCTTATATAAAACATTTTCTCGTCTATTTAATCTCGAGTGAACTTCAACTCGACGCAATTTTATTGTACAGTTCGGAAGTTGCGAAGGTCATGTTGATAAATTAGCACGGCAACTGATTCGCGCTGGTCCACGAGCAGCGCGTCGCAAGTTTCCCCGGAGCGTTACCGTGTCTCTTCTCTCACGGAGCTTTCTTCAAACATTTTTATTTGGCGTCACTCATTGTAACGAGCGTCAAAGGGTAATATAGCGTAATTACCGCTCGCGCGTTGAGGAGAGAGAGAGATGGAAAAACGGGCGAAGCACGTGGGTGTCAGGTCGGCGGTTCTCGCACTTCGCGTTGCTAATTCGAAGAATGTTTGATTGTTCCTGCGGCGACCCACCTCGCTCTCTTTCTCTTTCTCTCTCTCTCTCATTTTCTCCGCTGCTCGTGTGGCTCTTTTTACTGCCATAATTTCACGCGTCGCGCAAGCTCAAAGTCCCTTACGATGAAACGAGACCACCGGCGAATTTGCTAAACGTGCACGCACAGCACGCACGCATTGAAACGACACACACAGACAGAAACCGAAGAGAGAGAGAGAGAGAGAGAGAGAGAGATGAAGAGGAGGCGGCCGTTAGAAATTATGGAGGATTATTTATAGAGCCGCAAGTCAACGTACAACAATTGCCGTTCGCAGAACCGGCCAATGGGCGATATGTGGGCACCACTCGTTTGCTTATTAACGCTGATGTGGCGCCGCTTCAAGGGGCACAAAGTGGCTCGATCGTTTCTTCACGAGTATGCTCGATGCGCGCGACAGACGCGCGACAACGACAACCGGGACCGTATTCTCTCCTCTCGGTACCGCGCGAAACGGCCGATAATTATCACGGTGACTAATCGACGTACGACGTAATCGAGCCACGCGCGCGCACGAGAGAGCAAGAGAGAGAGAGAGTGAAATATCGTTACACGACCGGATAATTCCGCTACGAGCGCGCGCACTCTCGAGACGCGCGTGGCGAGCGACCAGCGGCGATAATTCGCGGGTATACTCTTTCCGAGATCGCGCGCGAGATAGCTGATAATTATCGCGGCGACTATTAGACGTAATTGGCCCAAGAAGACGAACTTGAGCGTCGTTATGAGCGCGGCGGTTATTTAACAGGAAATCACCGGGGGCCGCCGCTTGGTCGTGTTGCGTGCCGGTCGAAGAAATTTCAGCTAGCCTCGCGCGCGTCACGATATGTAAGTGTATAAAACGTCGTCGTTCGCTTCCGTCGTTGTTGGCGCTTTCAAGGGCGTCTCCGTCAGCGGTAACGGCGTATCATTAGTGATTTTTTAATAGGAACAAGTGGAAATTAACTGCCATTAGAGCGTGATACGCAGATCCCCGCGCGTAATAACGTCGCGAAGAAAGTGCTTGACGCCGCGTCGCTATTACTAGCGGACGCGTGTGATCAAACGATGATCGCTTACCGATCGATACCTGTTTTCTGCCCGATCATTTCGGCCGTTATTCATTACGCGCGTTCGAGAGCGAATATCCTGCGAAGTGAGGATCCCGCTTTTCGCTCCTCGTTAACGCACCGGCGTAAGCGTACGAGTTCGGTCGTAAGTTAATGGCACAACGCGAAAACGAATATAAATGTTACTCCGCGTTTCCGGATTATTATTTCGTTAAAAACACTCCAATATCGTGAAAGAGCCGCGGGCGCCATTTACGAGCGCGTTCGCGACGCTGGAAGACGAACGTAAACTACATTTCCCAAATGAATTGCCACTTCGCGAAGCATTGATTTGCAAATATTAATCATGTTGATTATTTCGAAAGAGAACGTGCACTTCCTTTTCTCTAAATATGCCTTTTATCACTCGGCACGATGTCGTCTCGTTTCGCCGTCGAGTCTCGTATTGTGCATTCGACAGCTGATCGTCCGGTATTACGGCGACAGCCGGAAACCTGGACGCTCAGAAGCGTCTATCTTCGCCCGCCAACCAGATAAACGAATGCACGTTGGCCCGACGTCGCGCTCGTAATTCTGTAACTTGATCCTGCGCGAGGACGATAATAAAAGACGAAATAGTTATTCGCGGCACTCGTCCGTTGTTTTAAGACGCGCGCGTCGAGAGAACGATACCTCCGCGGGTTTGCCGTAGCACTTGGAAAACCGTGAAAAACGAGAGACAGGGCCAGACAGTGAAAGAGAGAGAGAAAGAGAGAGGGGGAGAGCGTCGGGAAGTATCGGATAAAGGATCAGGGGAACGGTTTTCCGCAATTTCATTTGGAAGAGTGGTAAGGTACTTGTCCGTGTTTCAATATACATTAGACCTCGTTAAGCGTTACGCGATCGTAATAATTTACAATAACAAAAACAATCAGTTTCTCCCATCCGTTCTTTCTTTCGTTCGTTCGTTCGCGATTCGGTGAGAGCCCGGGCCTCGATCTTCCGGGAAAAGTGACCGAGCTCGTGGCGTTTATTACAGTCCGATCGAACACGACGATGCGGAAGCGACGCGCATATACGCGCTCAGACAAAGGAGGTCGCGGGTGCGTTTCTCGATCGTGTCAGCCGTCACTCGGGCGAGATCGTGTTCGGATCTACTCCCGGACTCCTCGCTCGTTTGTCGGCTTTCGCCGGTGAGAAACGCGCAGAGACCGCTGTCTCGCTTTCGGACGATCTCGCGATCAGCAAACCGTGACCATTCCCCTCCTCCACCCCCGCAGTTCCCTTGCGTCTTTGATTAATAGTTATCTCGTTATGCCCGGTGGACGTGCATTAAAAGTTAAGCGGGAACAAAAGTGCTGCGCGAGGACGCGCGCGCATCTTCGCGCGACGATATAGTTTGCGCAAATGTAGGAAGTAATATCGCGGGGACAACAAGAGTCTCGCGAGCTCTTTGCAAATGCGCCCGGCTGAGCGCGAGCGCGACGTTGCGCCGCGGGACACAAAGGGACGCCGCTTTGTTTCGTCATCTCTTTCTCCCGCGGTCCTCGTCCCCTCCTCGTCTCTCCCGCCGTCTCTCGCTCTCTCTTCCATCGGCCGCCCTATGCTCTCTCGGTATCCTCTTTCCTCGCCCGTCCTGGGCGCGCATTGCCGCCGCTCCCCGCGCCACCCCCTGCCCTTCGCCGCCGCCGCTTCGCCGTTGTCGTCTCGTGCTCCAGATTCCGTGGATTCTACGCGCATCGCCCCTCTCATAGAGATTGCCCGCACTGGATTTTATATCGAGAATCTCCGTTTATTACTTTATTGGCTCCCGCGTTCTTGAGGGGAAGGAAAATGAGGGACGTTTAATTCCGTGGTTTCGCGCTCGTTGGCCTCTTGCATCCTCGACAGCTCGCGCGCTTTGACGCGAATTATATGAAGATTCGCGCGTATACCGAGAAATATCGCATTATTTCTTATATGGAATTGTTATCCCGTTCGGTTCGGGCTTTTCGTTACCCGAAGCTTGGACGCAGTAGCGAGTGTGGTACTCGAAGCTCTCGAAATGTGTTGAGTTTCACTGGCGTTTCATCCTCAGGATTCCTCACGGACTCGAAACGCGGTGTATACGCGCGCGCGCGCGCGCGCGCACACACACACACACACACACACGAACGCGAGTGGTCAATTTTTTAATGGTCGAAAGAGCGTGGGATCTATATGCAAGATTGGTTTTGTGGATGCTTGTTGTAACGGAAAAATATCGGAGGAGGAATATTCGGGAAGAGAGAGAATTAACTGAAAAAAAATTACTCGGATACGATGCGGGCCCGAATATTGTTTGGAGGGACTCTCCATTCGCGCGGCGATTGAAGAATTACGTTGTAATTGGTCGAATAAAAAATTGGGATTGCCGCATGAAAATGATCTGCCCGTCGTTCGTCGTGGGCTTTTTCGGCGTATCGGAGGACGGAAAAAAATTTGTCGATGACAATCGCTAATCAAATCGTTCGACGACTAATTGTTCGCCGAGTGGCCCGTCCGAATTGGTACGAGGAGCGAAAATTGAAAATGTTCGCCGGAGGCTTCGTTGAGCTCTGAAAGAGGGGAAAGTCAAGCTAGACACACGAGACACGCGATTCGCGGATAACAAATTGTATGCATGATATGAAAAAGGCACACCTAAGGAAACTCCTTTCACGTGAAAATAGGGGATTTAAACGCAAATATTAATAAAGCTAACTGGAAAATGTGTAATATGATTTTCAGCTCGAGCTGAATATAATAAATTTAGGAATCCCACTCCGTCTCTCTTTTTCACACACTTTTGACACCTTCGAATTAATTATTCTCCTACTTTACATCGCTCGTAAATTCGCTTTCTTAATTAATATCACTCCTTTTAATCCGTCTTAATCATATATATAATCACATATAAACCTAAAGGCGAATATTACGAGAAAACATTTCTCGCTTGTTTTAATCTTATTCCGTGGAATTTAGGAGGAGACACGAGAGAGTGTTATAAAAGTATATTCTCATTTTCGTATCAACCTTTCGCGATTTATGTAACAAGCTCGTGCCAGCGTTGAAAACCCTCTAAAATCCCCTACGGTCGGTCTTTCCCGGCGCGTTTTACTTCCTCTCTTGGAATAATGGAAACGCTCCAAAGTTTTTACGGCCGCGCTCGTCGCCCCTTCCTTGTCGCGCCGCTCGAACGCACCGAAATTCTTACCTCCTCTTTACGGCGCCGGGAAACATAATTCGGTCGCTCGCGTGCGCCAGCGGCAAAGCGTAGAAGACATCGACCGATTTTA